GTTCGGCCGCACTTGAAGCAGCCCGAACTACCAACCCTACACGACCCATCATGCCCCCTGCCACACTTGTTGCAGCGGCCTCAGCCCTGCTGGCCCTTCCGTCGGGAATCTACCTTGGGCTTTTTGCCTGAGCCCTCCCCGCCAGATACTAACTCTAGCTTCCTCTTCCTCTCCATCTCTAAATCAATCTCTCTCTCACGAGCCCTAGAAATCATGTCCTCCAGCGTCTTGCAGCTGGAGCGGCTCACAAACTGGCGGATATCACTACGCAACATCTCATGATATCGGGCCTTCTTCATCTCCTCGTCCGCCACATACTGCGTAACGAGAAGGGCCCTCTCCCTAAACTTGGCGGTGATCTCTGCCACAGTCTCTATCGTCTGCTCCAAATCCTGGAACTCCCTCGCTAACTGTTGCACCTCAATCACAGGTGCAAACTCGGCGCTGAACCTGGTCGAAAAGTCACCCCAGGTCATTGCATCCAAAACTGCATCATCTCCAATGGCTCTCCCAACCTCCTCCCACCAGTCACGTGCCCTGTCCTTCAGAAGACAGGACGCAAGTCTAACCTTGTCCCCCTCGGGACATCTGTTGGTGCGGAATGCGTTGGCGACATCCTCCAACCATCTGGTGGGGGTCCCGAGCCCCATGGTAATCGGGAGCTCCACAAGCCCTGAACTCCCTGAAAGTTAGTGTGTGCGACCCCATCATGGCCGTCACCTCAGTGCGGAAGGCGCTCAGCTTCTCATCCAGAAGCTCCAAAATACCCTCCTTGATCGAACCAAATATCACAGGAGTCTTGTCTAGAATAGTACGTGTGATCTCAGACGAGATGAACTCCCTCGTCTGCTCGTCAAGCTGCCCGGCTCCAGAGCCCGAGCCTGATCCCTCACCAGTGCCTAAAGTGCCAACTGGCCTAGTGTGTAGCATCACCATACTGAAATTACACCATAACAAAAATCAGTATACTCATCATATCTTGAGGGATCTAACACACTACAAGTTTCCTGGATTCATCTCAGCCTTCCTTGATTCGAGTACGGATCCTCTGCTTTCAGTAGTACGGGCCCATACTACCTTCCACATCTATCCATACTTTCCTCAAGATCTGCCTCGACTCCACCAAGTCCCTTCTACCACTATTGCTGATCTCATGCTAAAATCATCCTAGGCATGCCTTTGGGTAATCACTAACCCACTCTCCGCTATCAGCTGCATAAGAAGTTCCTGTTATCTCCCCCCAACTAGCTCGTGAATACTATTACATATCAATAAGACTAGATAATTCTTCAAATGAGAGATCCTACCCTACAACGGTTGGACTCAAACAAGAGTTGCGCAATAGAGCTAGACCTAACCTTCTGAAATTATTTAGTCCCCGCAATATGTAACGTAACATATTCATTTACTAGTTAGTAAAAGATAACTAGAACTCCTAAAAGCACAAAGCAGGCATCATTCGAGCATCGAGTAAACATAATCAAGCATATATCTCTCAGTCTATCCCTGACTAATCTGTACTTGCATGCAGTTCATAAAGCTGAGATACATATAACAGGCACATAAGGCATCCTTCCTAGATCATTAGTCCTAATCTAGCATGCAATTCTCATGAAGCTGATATATATATATATATATATATATATATATATATATATATATATATATATATATATATATATATATATATATATATATATATATATATATATATATAATAGGCACATAAGGCATCCTTCCTAGATCCTTAGTCCTAATCTAGCATGCAGTTCTCATAAACATATCATAACATAACTTGTATGGGTAATTTGGGAGTACTTACTTGAGCTTGGCTGATTGCATGCACCACACCCTTTTTCTCTTTTCAAAGTTCTTTTCTCTTTTCAAAATTCTTTTTGTAAAAATGGTTCTTTTCTCTTTTCAAAGTTCTTTTCTCTTTTCAAAGTTCTTTTCTCTTTCAAAGTTCTTTTCTCTTTTCAAAATTCTTTGAAAATTTTCATACCAAGTCCTTAGTTTGACTTCAGACACACCCGAGAGTGTGTCCAAATCCCTCAAACCAAGGCTTTGATACCAACTTGAAACATCCCAAAAATACAGACCAAAAATTTCGTTTTTAATTATTAATAAAACCATAGTTATACAAAACACATTTCATAATATCTCAAACATCTTATCAATGGATATCAAAATATCAGAGTATAAATATCCCAGGCTGAACAAATGGTGTGTGCACTACAATCATCCCGAGCCCTTCCCCTTGCTACCGGAAGTACCTGAAACCAAAAATGAAAACTGTAAGCACGAAGCTTAGTGAGTCTCCCCAAACTACCACATACCATACACATAACATGCAACTAGGAGATACGGGCCCCACCCACTCTCATGGAGATTCGGGCCTAACCCACACTCTGCTGTCTAGGAGATTCGGGCCCCGCCCACACTCCACTGTCAAGGAGATTCAATCCCCGCCCACACTCCGCTGTCTAGGAGATTCGGGCCTCGCCCACACTCTGCTGTCTAGGAGATTCATGCCCCGCCCACACTCTACTGTCTAGGAGATTTGGGCCCACACTCCGCTGTCTAGTTTTGTCTGTCATAAAATCGGGACAACCCGACTCAACTCGTCGAGTCCCTCCTTGGACTCGTCGAGTTCCTCCACCCCCAAGTCCAAAACTATTTCCATCTCACTGAGTCATCTCCTAGACTCAACAAGTTCACTCATTAACAGAAGAGTTGGGTAACCACGAACCAACTCGCCGAGCTGCAAGAACAACTCGTCGAGTCCCCCATGATCTTAATCTATTCAGTCGATTTCAATTGGGTTCATTGCCTCCAAAACATAGATCTGGACCCCTAAGGTCCTTATGTCACGTAAAGTTTCCAACTTTACGTGCATACATGGGGTTTTTAGTTCACAAGGTCCAAAAAGGTGGCTCATAAGGTGCATGGGACTCCCATGGCCATAAAGTTGGCACCTTTATGCCATGGAGTCCCTCAAAGACTCTAGATCTGCAGTTGATACACAAAATCACACTTGCATCCATGAATGGTTCCAAAATGCACTCTAAAAAGCCCTAAACTACCCCGTAAGAAGATTTAGAAAATAAATGGCCAAGTTATAGACTTGATTACTAGAAAGTGAAAGAAAAGTGATGTTGCTCCTGGATCTACAACCTTCTCTTGGAGTCCTTTCGCTTATTCTTCTTCTCACAAGCTTCAAATCATACTAAAACACTCAAAAATGGTTCACACACTCACACAAAGCTCAAGCTCACTGATTAGGGTTTTCTGGACAATGGAGGACGATGAGGGAGGCCACAAGGGGTGTTATGTTCTTTAAATAGGGGGATAAACCCTTAAAATTAGGGTTTCATTCTGGCAGTCCTACTCGTCGAGTCGGGGCTTCCCAACTCGGCGAGTAGACATCAAAACCCGCGTCCCTCTCGATCTCTACTCGACGAGTTTGGGGCTACCAACTCGTCGATATGCCTTGTAAAAATGAGTAAATAAATATTTAATACATACCAGGGATCTGGGCGTTACAAAGAATATAACCCAAAATCAATCGGGGGCAGGGAAACAAGGGTGGGGGAGAGGGATGCAACCCCTGTCCCGTTTGCCCCCGTTGACATCCCTATATAGTGAACATGATGACGAGAAGTTAGAAGTGAAAAGTGACATGGAGCGGTTGTTGGAGTTACAGGCCTAGCTTGCAAATATCACAATATTAGAGACCCAGACAAGTTTGTTTGGGGCTGCATTGATGATCTAATGTTGTCAGGCGAAAATGGTGCCATTACATGAAATAAGTTTGTTCCATGAAAGATTAATATTTTTGTTTGGCGGTTGCTTTTGAATCGTCTGCCACTTAGAGATAATCTAGATAGGGGGGAGGATGTTCCTTCAATCTTATGCCTAATGTATGGGCTGAAAAAAACGAAGAACTTCAACACTTCTTAAATGTGAACTGGCTAATAATGTTTGGAGGAAGGTTGGTAGATGGTTGAATGAATGGATGCATGTTTTCACAAATTCTCAAAACATATTCACTTGGATAGAAGCCAGGAGGATATCAAAGACCAAAGTGATGGAAATGGAGGCGATCGTTTTCTCGGTTTGATGGATGTTTTGGCAATACCGTATTGACATTGTTTTTGGGAACAAAAAATCGAGAGTAATATGATAATTGAACGTAATATTACTGATTATTCGTTTGAGTGGTTTGTGTTTAGAAACAATAAGTTTGCTATTAAATAGATTGATGGGATCAAGAATCCAATAAATACCATTCCACGTTTTGTTTAAATGAACATTTAACTTTTTTTGGATCCGCTAAATCATTCAAAGCAAAACTTAGAACTTTCATTTGCTTTTATATCAATAACCTTATAACTATTTATTTTTCTAACATCTTGCTAGCTTTGTTTATGTGTGTGTGTATATATATATATATATATATATATATATATATATATATACACACATACATATAAATAAAAACAAATGAATATTGTATATGTGTATTGTTGAATAATTATAATATGAATATTAACGTTTGATTATTCATATATTCATTAGAATGTTAAGTAAGTTTAAATAAAAACAGTAAATAGTGTGAAAACGTAAAATCATTATATTTATGTTATTATTCTGCAATGAATGATGTATATGTGTATTGTTCAATAATTCTAATATTAATATTAACGTTTGATTATTCATATATTCATTAGAATGTTATTATTATATTATAAATTTATGTATGTGCATTTTGTAGTAAATTCTAATTTTAGTTTTAACCTGTGAGTATTCATTTATTCGTTGCTGAATAATGACATAAAGCTATGCATACAAAATTAATTGTAGAATGATAACATAAAAGTAGTGTTTTTACGTTTTTACACTATTTACAGTTTTTGTTTGAACTTTCAAAAAAAATAAAATCAAATCAAAACGACATCTAAATGAGACAATATGTACAAATTTGTACCAAAATCCGAAAAGTAGCCTAAATTTGTTATTTTCAGTATACGACGGTGACAAAATTTATATTTAACTTTTTCTTTCTTGTACTAAACACAAAAATTTTCATTCAATTGAAGTTCAACTGAACGTGTGACTCAAGAATAAACCTCAAAAAATTATATATAAAAAACTAAAAAATGAGCACCAAAAAAACTATGGTTGCAATAAGAACGAATGTTTAATTGTAGACGAGGGATGGTTGGCTTCTGCCTTCCAACATTTACTGATGTCTTCTGCTATTCGTTTAGCATCTGCTGATGCACCAAGCAAACCACGTTTTGTAAACCCTACCACGTAAAGCCCGTATGCACCTTTCCACCCATTTGGAAATGGTCTTCGAGGATACCCATCTTTTTCCGAGAACATATTTTTCTCCTAAAGATATAAAAACATATATATACTCTTAAAATTTGTCTTTTAAGATTAAAATACTTTGCCAAGAAGTAGCAAATGATGGTATTTTTGTGTTTAAGTTCTAAAAAATTGTCAACACAATGTTTTTGTAAAATAAAACGGTTAAGAAAAATAATGGATAGAAGAATACCTTTAGCCAAGAGGGTACATTGCTTTTGTATCCCGTTGCTAAAATAATTGCATCAAAATCCTCAACTTTCCCATTCACGAATTTTACATTACGGTGGCCTATATGTTGAATACGTGGACATATCTAAAAAAATTAAAACCCAATATTAGTATTCCATTAGAAAGGTTAATGCCGAAATGAATAAGAACTATTTAAATTATTATTTTTAAAAAAAAAATTGAGTTAATAGGATATGTAAGCAATGACGTAATAGAGCAATTAGCCAGCTATATTCAAAATTGCTTAACTAAAATTATAAACTATAGATGAAAAATGTAACTTAAACTAAAGTCTTACGATCTCCAAAGAGAAAAAAAAATAAGGGTAGGCAACATAAGAGAGTCCTGCTTTACTAAAGCATATAACTTTTAATGTTTGAGAAATTAAATATTTTGTTATCTTTTGTTCTTATCTATCTTTCTACACATATTAAATAATGACATGCAATCCATTAATTCTTTTTCTTAAAAATTTGTTTGATTTTGACATTTGTCTTGATATAGTAATTAGGAGATATATAAGAATAAAAGATAGAAGAGGCTAGAAAAAGGGGTATAATACTTTCATCAAAATTAATAATTTTAGTTTTGTTTCACAAATTTTCTTTATTTGTATTCTTATTAAGAACATGTTATAAAATATTTATAGTAATTTAAATGATGATAGATTCAGAAATCAACAAAGACCTATTAAATTAGGAGAAACAATATTTTTGTATGTCTAAATGAACATATATATATATATATATATATATATATATATATATATATATATATATATATATATATATATATAATGCTTATTTATGTTATGTCATTGTCTATAATACACCAATCAAGAATTATATGTGATGAAGAAAGTTGAGAGGTGTAGTCAAAAACATGTTATGAAGAAAGTTAAGAACTGGAGTCAAAAACATGTTTGGATATAAATGGAGATATGATGTCGCTAGATAGTATATATGATCAAACGAATCTTAATTCAATGATTATATATAGAACCAAAAAAAGGGAGAAATCAAAGGTACAAAGATATGGGAAGGGATTTAAGGATTTGAAAAGCACACACACATATTAAAGGTAAAAATAAAAGCATCTACAAATAGTTTGAGTACTGAGTTAGGTTTACCATGATGTCTCCACTTTTGATCTTGGCTAGGGCCCCTACGTCCAACACGGGCGTCTTTCCGGACAAGTTTTTGAGCTCGAGGGGTCCCACAGTCGGCCGGTCAAGTCCAAACCTAGCTGTGTTTCCAAGTATCCACCATGACATGATCAACAGAAACCAGTCAACTAATCTCATGGGAAACCACTTGAGCAATCGCATC